TGACGTAGGTCTTACGGTCAGCGCGACCTTGAAGAAGCGGGTAAGAGGTGGTAAAAATACATAAAATAGTCCTTCAAATAGTTTTTTTCTTTTCTTTTGGTAATACCAAATACAAAAACAATTATTTTTTTTTGATCGAAGCAAAATCTTTCGGTTTTTTTTTTTTAAAGACCATCGGCGATGCTAGTGAGCTTGATCTAGTACTTGTAGGCTTTAGTTGTTTTTATTACACAGCCTAGCGGTATCCCATTGCTGACATCACGTAAATAATGCGAGTTTTACCCCAAACCCATATCGTCATAAATAGCCAGACAACCACACCACGAATGACATCAAAAAGTTTCGTCTACAGCCTCACCCATCTGATACAGCCGATTTGTATTTGGTCCTTGGCGCACGCGTGAGATTGTTGCTGACGTCATTTACTATTAAATTTTTTCGGAAAAGGCCATTAGCGGGAGTGGTGACGATAAAAACAATTTTTACCAAGCCAAAATTTTCAAGCTTAAAACGATCTATATTTTTTTTTTAAATGCAAACCCGGAAATTTTCAAACTCAAATCTTGCGAATCCGGAAAGGGAAAAAAATATGCTTCTCGAATCCGGAAATCCGGGATATCCCGGAAAAGTGGCACCCCTGTAAATATGGATCATTCCACAATTAAAAAAAATGAAACTGAACTGTGCTAAATCACCAAAACTGTTTCTATTACCAATAATGATAATAATCACATAAAGCATCATGTAGTTATAAATTTACATCCAGCAGTATTAAAAATAGAAGGTAAAACTTACTTTGAATCCATATAGCTTCCTGGTATCATGTTCAGGCTCCCCGGCCCACTTGAGAAAAGTTGCAACATCCTTAGCAAGTTGGCTCTGTGTTGCAGGTGTGCCTAGGAAACATTTGCAAATACTACATTTAAAGTTGTGTGATCTAATGTAAAGTTGTGTGATCTAATGTATATATATACAATTCTCTATGTCTCCCAACCACGCACACTTTACAATCATAGAGCCTGGTAAAATTAGTGACGGCTATTAGGGGCGGGGCAGATAATTTAGTTTTTAAAACTAAGGGGAGGTAAGAAGTTCTGCTTTATCTTTATTATTGCAGTCTGTAAACTGTAATCATGTACGGCTGCTTTCTGGGGGGGGGGGGGGGGGGGGGGGGGGGGGAAGGAGGAGGAGGGAAGTGAGGATAGTAGTCCTTCATGAGCTACTGTGTTATAAAGCAAAATATTTAGCATTGGTAGTGTTGAACAACGAAATTGCTTCATAGACTACGCTGATTGTTTTATTTAATAGGAAAAATGTGATGTTAAAAAGTTAAATCAATTCAACAATGAAGAGTGCAGATTGCTATTATTAAATGTCACCAACTTTTGACATTTTTTCATTACATTTTATTCTGTACAGCATACAGTAATAAAGCATTTGAGATGTGTACTCACCATCATCATATTCAATAATTTCATTGTAGAGAGCCTGAGCCATGCCAATAGCTCCACCAGGAAAGTAGGGATTGTAATATTGTCCTTCCATCAGTTTCACTCCAGCTGGAGGTTCAGTATAGCCATTTAATAGCGAAAATATATAATCCTGGGAAAAAATATATCCGATAAATACAATTTGATAGAAAGAAAAATTCTAAATATATATAAAATTTAAAAAATACGAATGAATAAACAAAAATCAGCAAATAAATTGTGATAGAGCACAAACCTCCCCTCCATGTCTTGCCAGCACAATGTAACTCAGGTCAGGAGGTAAGGCACCATTATTTGCTGACCTAGCATGTTCATCATTCCTATAAGGATTGGGGAAAGCATCAGACAGCTTCCCTGGTCTCTCAAACATGTCTCCATTCTCATCTGGGCCATCAACAACTAAAGCCTAAAGTAAAAAAAAAAAAATGTAAGTCAAAAGCAGAACATTTTGTGCACAATGAACAAACTTATTTATTGTTGGGGGAGGGGGGGAAGAAGAGAAGGGGGGTGAATCTGGCCAATACAAAAGGAAACATACCTCTTCTGCTTCAGCTTTAGCCTCCTCTTCTGTCATAATAACACCAACCAGATTTCTGTAACTCAAGAATTTCATGCTGTGGCAAGCTGCACACACCTGCTTGTACACCTGATATCCACGTCTCACACTGAGGATTAAGAAAAGAAATGGTATTGAATAATAAATTGTAAAATATTAAATACTAGAAGACAGAGTAAATTTAACAGTAACTAAATGAGATGGATTGAGTTAATGAAATACCTTGCATGGTCCAGTGTTTGTAATAACCCATTATGACTCCAGGGAAACTTTGGAGGGTGAAGAACTAAATCACTTGCAAACGTTGGTTGTGCCATTGCTGTGCCTATCACAACGCCACCACCAGCAGCTATTGAGCCTAATATCCATGCCTTGAGAAATGAATAAATAAAATGAAACTTCTCTATCAAACATGTATTATGGTTATGAAATAAGCTGATATTTATCAAAATCTATAATCAGATTTCAAACACTTGCATCTAGTTCAATCTCCAGCTTTTGTTGCCATTGTTGCCTAGCAATATCAAAATAAATAAAAGATTGCAGGGAAATAGAAATATTAAAAGGTTCTTAACAGCCAAAAAGAGGTATAGGGAGTCATGCCTAAATCTTTGCTAGTAGGCAACCTTTGATTTCATTGTGTAAATGCATCTTATTTTGGAAGCATTTTTACAAAATTTAATTCATTTTCTATTTCAAGAAATTCTACTTCAAGTAAATAGTTTATTGCAGTTGTCTATAATATGTCTATTGTAAGTGACTTAATTTATTTACTTTTAACTTTATTGAGAGATGCTCAACGAAAAGTCTGTTATAAAATTTTGTGTGATCAACGTTTAATTAGATATAATATTGATCTTGATCTGTAAAGTTGCAATTGAAGAAAAGTAACTTACGAGTTTTTTCCCAGTTTTGCTTCCAAATGTAAAAATTGTTGCCTAAAGTTAGAACAGAAAGAAAACAATTCATAGGGCTTATTCCAAAACTAAGTAAATGGGGGCTAAATAATAATAAAAGTTTCACAATGTAAATACTGTATAGTTATAGGCATGGATTACTATGTCTGATTTTGTAATGTAGATCTATAAGAAAAAAATATGTAACAAAAAAAGTACAAGTCCATCCAAAAGATTTTATGATTTTAATTTTATATTTTATGAGATGGCCTGCCATTTGTTTAGATTTCTTCATTAATTCCAAGACTAAGTAGATTCTATATAAATAGTGATTTCACAAAGTAAATAATACATAGATCTAGGCCTCGATAATTATATAGGCTATTGGTTTTTGCAATGCGTAAGAAAACAAAATATGTGACTAAAAAAAAGACGATGATGGTCTGCCATTTGTTTAGATTTTTTACTTCATAAGTATTTTTTTCATAGGAGACTCAAGGACACTGGTACAAAGTGAGGTTATCTATACTGAAAGTGTTCTGAATTTAATATAATGTTAAAAACTAGTTGAACATGACTTAGCTTTGATTTATATTATTTTGTTAAGAGAATGACCATACCTGTTGGCTAAAAACAGCCGGTTTGGCTCGCAAAAGCGCTTGCTTCGTTGAGCGGCCAATGTAAGCAGCCATTTTGTTTCTAACCCCAGTCTGAGAGATACGTCAAAAGATTTTACGGGAGGAGTTGTTCCGCATGCTAAAATATCGGGTAATGTTAAAACACGCATGCGCACCACAAGTATTTTAGAACTCTTCAGTGTCATCCGTTTTAAAAAACAGAAGATTGTAAATTATTTTTTAGACTAAAGAGGTTTATATGTTGCCAGCGACGCTATACTAATTCTATAGTCCAGGCAGATTAGTAAAGGTCTGATTGATGCAAAAGCAAGCACATTGTAGATCTATATGATACTTTCCAGTGTAATTTTGTAAATACAGTTAAGAAGTGGTAATAAAACAATAGTGCAGGCAACCAGTCTCTTACTCTACTGTAATTGACATAATAATAATTATTAATAATAATCTAAATAAATTGTATAGTTACAAGTTACAATGTTACATAGTAGTATTAAAAAATTAGATTAGTATTATATTATTATTAGGCCAGAATTAAAATAATTAAAATATAAAAATTTAAAATTAGGGGGCCTATAAAAAAAAATTAATAAAAAACTAATGTCAGTGAGTAGTCAGTATTAGTCAGTAATGTACTAGTACTACTAGATCTACTAATAATCATCTAATGTCACTAATACAATAATAATGATTTTTCAACATGTTTGATTATGATCAGGAAAGAAGATGACTGGTTTGAATTAAATAAAATAAAAAACTCAATATGTCACTAAATGAAGATTAACTAGAATCTAGTAGATTTAAAGACGTTAAAGTTGTATTAAAAAAAACTTTTAGTTTGACCGAGTTTTTCATCAGTGGTCAACAATAAATTATAAAAAAAAAACATTATGGCGCTGGCAAAAGGAAAAGTAAGTCACAAGTTTATTCTAGATTCTACTGTCTAGTGCTAGTAGTTAATTAATTTAGTTAGGGTCTACCTATCCAAATAATATAAAGCTGAATAATTGCATTCATTAACTGTAACACTTTTACGTGGAGCAGTTTGACTAAAAACATCTCATGTTGTTTTTAGAATAAAAAAAAAATTACATCTGTATTCTACATATTGATAACTAAAGATAAAATCCTATATATTTTATAAATTAATTTACATATGATATTGAATATAATCATAAATAGTAATGTATTGTGAGTTATCAATGATATCAGTTTTTTTTAAATAATGGCAACCTTACATTTTATAGCCCTAAATAAATTTTTGTGTGTATCTGTGTGTATATGTAACATTATATACAACATGTATCTATTTGTATTCTTTTTAGTTTTCCTATGGTAGACTGAAAGGGAAAGGAATTATCAGGTAAAATATATATTTAACAGTCGACCATTATAGTTTCTATCTCAAAATAACATTTACTTTAATTTTATAACTATCTTGCACAGTGATAGAGAAATAAGATTCAAGTGCATTTTCCAAAACACAATACTTGATGTTCTTCGAGCTAGACCTGGATGGCAAGAAGTACAGGGGTAGGCTTAATTGCAAAGCATCTTTAAAATAATTGAGTGGTCTGCCTTTACTTAGAAGTGCTATAATTTTTTTTTGGGTAAATGTCTTTTCAAATCACACTTTTAATTGAGGTTTGTTAATTAGAAATTTCATATACATTTTTCCTATATGAGCATTTATGTAAAAGTGTTTTAAATCTCTATATATTTAGTGATGGTGAGTGGGATCTATACTGGTGTGACAGAGAATGGCTACATGCAAACTATGACAACATGTTCTTACAGGAGCATCAGAAAATACTTCATTTCCGTAACCATTATGAGGTTCTTTTTTTTTTGTATATTTTGGCTTTACAGAATTATATACTTAATTTACAAGAAATACTAAGTTCCTATATGTTTACATTATATAAGCTCAAACATTTTTGTCTTTTAGTTGACCAGAAAAAATTTGATGGTGAAAAATCTTAAACGTTTCCGAAAACAAACTGATAAAGAATTGGGTAAAGCAGACCAAGGGTAAGTATTTCATTTTATATGGTCCTGTCTTTTAAGGATCAGAATTTTACAACTCCTAATTTTATGGTATAGTATAAGTTATTAAACCTTTGCCAATACAATTTAAACTGTCAATATTTTCTCAGTTTTATTTATTTTCAGATGGGACTTCTTTCCTGCTACATTTGAGCTCCCAGTAAGTTACAAGTAGAAACAGTTTAACAGGCTTATACCAGTAACAATCAGTTATTTAAAATATTCAAATAAGATGATTATTATTTTGTAAGAAATACATTAGTTATAATTTATGAATTTAAAAAAAAAATTATGATTATAATTTTTTTTAACTGCTATGAATTAAAATTTAGTCTGAGTACCATATATTTGTGGAAGAGTTCAAACGCAATCCTGGAATGATATGGATTATGAAACCTGCAGCCAAATCTCAAGGAAGAGGAATATTTCTATTCCGGAAACTAAAAGACATAACAGATTGGAAGAAGGTATATTTTGAAAGTTTAAGAACAGTTGAATTAATAATAGTGTGCTAGGTATTTGTGTTTAACTTTTTAAAATTTTTAAAATTTTTCAATGCATGAAACAAATCCAGCTATATCATTCTTTTTTAATAGACTTATCATATAATATCAGGTAATGTATTTTTGAAGAAAAACATTTTCTTAAAGGGATGACCTATTCAATTACAATAAAATAATACCTATTTTTAATAAAAGGAATATTTAAAAACATTTTTAGGGTGAATATCAACCTTTGGCAGATCCTAATGTACCTAAAGACATTCCTGAGACATACGTTGTTCAACGTTATATAGATAATCCATACCTGATTGGCGGGCGAAAATTTGATATACGTATATATGTTTTAGTATTATCTGTAAGTAATTATTTTTTATTATGTTAAAATATTTGCTTAAAATAAATATATATCTAAGTCTCCAAATTAAATTCTTCTTTTATCATTTAGTTTAACCCTATGAAGGTCTGGCTATACAGAGGAGGATTTGCGAGATTCTCTAACAGTCGTTTTTCTTTGGACTCTCTTGAAGACACATGTATCCTTGTAATAGTGTATAAGCAGTGTTTCTTCCAGATTTTCAAGTTCCCCTGGGGGGGGGGGGGGGGCACTTGTAATTTTTTTTTTGGGGGGGGGGCGGAAGACTTTCTTTGGGAGGGGGGGTGGCAGACACTGTTAGAAGTATATATTTTCTATATAAATTTCATTTCGTTCGGGGGGGGGGGGGGGTCTTTTTTTGGTGGGGCAGAGATGCCTGGAAGAAACTCGGTATATAAATCCAAATAAGAGATTTTATTGTTTTTCAGTTTTACTGTAAAAATTCCCTAATAAATTTCATTCATTTGTTAGCTATATTGTTTAATTTTTTAATCATGGTCCTTTTTGTAGGTCTTTTAAACATTGTTTCCTATACAAGTTTAGATATTCATCTAACTAATGTAGCAGTGCAGAAAACATCACCTGACTATGATCCAGAGAAAGGATGCAAATGGTCTGCACAACAGCTCCGGAAGTACTTAGTTGCTAGGCATGGTTTTAATAAAGTAAATATTTTAGTCAATTTTTTTATTACTGTTTACTATTTTATGAATGTAAAACTGAATGAAAGGATAACTAAACAAATATAAAAAATATTTCCTGTAGACAAAATAAATTCCATCCATCATATTGATTATTATAGTTTTCAATGTATTCTAGGTTTATAATATGTTTTTAAAATACAAATCAGCCCTTGAAGACTGTATTAGATCCCAGTACTTGTAGGAATCAAAGTTTTCTTTTGGCAGCCCAACCCAATACCTAGCCCTGACAACAGCAGGATTACCTCTATTTAAAACAGATGAGATAGTGTATAGCCATAACTATATTTTAATGAGAAATAGGACCACATACTCTAGCATAGAGCTCCTCTATTACAATTTTTTTTTGCCAGGTAAAGAATATGTTCACTGCTGTTGACAACATAATTATCAAGAGTTTACACAGTGTCCAGAAAGTCATCATAAATGACAAACATTGTTTTGAAATGTATGGCTATGACATTCTGCTGGATGACACACTCAAACCGTAAGATATATACAGTGGTACCTTGAGTTTCTTTAATTTTGTTCTATAACAATGCACTTGTACATTGAATACAGTTAAAATTATTACCAGATATATACTATACAGTTATATTTATAAAGTACTGTGTTTCATTATGTTAATTTAAATGGTACCTATTGGTAATCAAGGTTAATTATTATTATTGTTGTTAACTGATTTTTAGCTCCTCTCCCCTACACAGGTGGTTACAAAAAAGCTAGATCCTTCACCTCTTTTAAATGACATCACAAGTTCTAATCCCAAGTTCCCTAAAAATATAACCTTACTTTAAAAGATACAGTAAAAAGTTGATTTTTTTTCATTTCTGTTATGACAAAAAATCCCAAAGATTATGCTATTGACATATCTTAAACTACCTGCATTGCATAGTCAGAAAATGTTCAATATCTGTGATGTCATGAATCTGTATCCCTGTTTAACATGCAACATTAAATCCTTATTTCAGCTGGCTTATAGAAATCAATGCATCACCATCATTGACTGCAAGTGGACAAGAAGATTATGACTTGAAGTTTGGCCTGCTCAATGATGTATTGAATGTATTGGACTTAGAAAACCGGTGAGTGGTTACAATTATTTGGTAGCTGAATTTATTTAGGCTGCGAAAAGAAATTACCATTTTTTCCATTTTTTCTTTTTTTAGAACTAATTGTTAACTTTTTTTTTTTATTTACTAACTTTTCAAATTAGTTTGAGTGGAAATATATTTTTGGTAACAAAATTTTCTAATCAGCTGGAATGGAAAGATATTTTTAGTAATAAAACTTTCAAATTAGCTTGAGTGGAAAAGAGAAACGCATTGGTGGCTGGGATCTTCTATGGGATGATGGACCAGTGGTCATTGATGAGATGTCTCAGGAAACTGGATTAACTTCTTACTTGAGAGTCAACTCATTCTTAGGTCAGTTACCTTAACTTGAATCATAGGTAATTAAAACATTTACATTAATATTCTGTTTATAATCTTTGTTGTATTTTAGAAAATTATTACTGAATTTTGAAAATAATAAATTTAACTTTTCATTATTCTTTTCTATATTTTAAAATTGTTAACAGCTTTTAACTTGTGATAAGGAAGGTTTAAACATGGCTACTTAAGAAATTCTAAGGGTGTTACTTTGTCAGGACTGTTAATGTTAAAACTGCTTGAATAGTAAAAAGAGTTTCTGACAGGGCCTATCTATTTCTTTTATTGTAACATCTTGTGTGGGCACAATATAATGTGATTATTCTTTTCTTTTTTAAATTTATTAGAAAAGTAATTAACTTCAAACTAGATTAATACTATTCACAGGATGTCAAAATACAAGAAAGGAACAACTGCGTGAGACATACTCATTAGCTGAAGCATTCAAATCTGCAGCATCTACACACTCTTGATGATGTTAGTCGTCTCCTGGGCTCAGAACTTACCAGGAGTTAAAAGCTGGAGAAGATTTACTCATTCCAGCAATAACAATGTTACTATATATATACCCAGACATGATTTTAAAATGTCAGTGTGTAATTGAACTAATAAATGTCAAACTTATGCCTAATAATTAATTACAAGTTTGCAATATCAAAAGCAAATCAACTTGAATATTCTATTAATTTAAATTTAAAACAAAGTAAATACTTCATGACATTATTCTAAAAAAACACCCCTTTAAATATAAAAATAGCACAAGGCCTTTCCCAGCAACACATGTGAAGTGTTTTTAATGTACAACTATAACTCTGTATTTTGCTGAGCCTATGTTGTTTATACATACTTATGTTAAAAAAATCAATCTTATAGCTAGCATCCAAGTAAAACCTGAAGAGTTCTAATCACATACTGCTCATATTATATGAACCAAAATGAGATTTTTTTTTTTTGAAAACCATGATACATGACATAATCTGTTATGAATGTAATATTATGTTATACAAATCAAGGCTGAACAATAGATGCAGCATTAGTTAGACATTCTGTTTAATTAACACTTAGTGTTTATTGTGTCTACCAATGGTCATGTTCTGTTTAACAATATTAGAAGTTACCTTGCTCACTACTCCATTTACATCAAACTCAGGACTGCATTAATGTTACCATTTTAAACAAGCTCAACTATCTTCTTTAGTAGTATTTTAATATACTTTTGATACCATAACACATTTTAAATGTGTATTTACAATAAAGGGTATATTTTCAATTATACAGTAAAAAAATAACTAGCTAAATACATTTTCTCATCACCAATATCATGATCACAGCACATCATTTAAGTTTTTTTGTTATGTACCTTGGGCCATTTGAAAATTGCACTGGAATGTGTTTTGATGACATCAACATCGATAAAGAAAATATTTTGTAAATAAATAAAACATCTGATATGCTAAAATATCAAGGATTGTTATGACTTTTTAAAATATATTTATAATCATTATTAAATTAAATATTTTTTTTCTAACACCTCTTGTCCAGCTTATATTCTTATATGCTAATTGCTTCTATTTTTGCAAATACAAATATATACGTACTTGAATTTGAAGCCAGAGAACTGACATTTTTACTTTCAGGGTTAACCTGTCAGTTACCCTATCAGTCTACTCATACATGAGTTACAGAATATTTTGACATACAAGACAATTGTGTATTAGACACAACCTACTTAAAGTATGGAACATATACCAGGCCTAAATGATATATGCCCCCCCCCCCCCATCAAAGATGATTTTACTTGGTTAAAGTCATCTTATACTTTGAGGCTGAAAAATGTGGTACTGTATTGAATTGACTTTATAACAAGTGAAAAAAAAATATATGACTGTAGACTGGATTTATTTTTTAACCAAACATGTTTTGACAAAAAAGTCTTATGAATTAAAATAGAAACAGCATCACAAACTTAAAAGATGTAAAATTTTATTTTAAATATCAAGAGTGTCTATAGTGTTTTCAGTCCATTCTGTTTGACCACAAAATTTCTTCATGAATCAACACAACCCACATTCAATTTTAAGCCATCTCTTCTATCGGGGATCTGGACAAAAGGCCAACAGGAAATTAGGAAGATGGGGGAAAAGGCTGACATCAATAAGACAGACTGGGCATGAGGCAGAAAGGCTACAACGCAGATAACTTAAAGGCAGACAATTACAAAAATGTTTAGTATTTAATAAATGCAAGTTACAAAATGATTAATTAAAGCACAACATAGAAAACAAAAGGGCCTATTAAGATAAATTGTATGCTGCAAAAATGTAAAGTTCCTCTTTAGACCTAGCAATCCATTGGGCAGATGATGTAGAGTATTGTAGAGTTCATGTTTCTTGACCTTGGCATATGAAGGGATAGTGTGGTCAGCACTATGACCAGTTGCCTTTACTTTCATCAATGTAAGTAAGGTACCAATCAGAACTGGGTGGACTCACTGATGTTTTATAGTCTTAAATACAAACCAAGCTCTGACCACACAGTCCCATAAATTGTATGCTAAGCCATGTAAAAATTCAAGTGTCATTTCCAACAATTACATTTGTTGGCCTGTAAAAAGTTTCTTTCCTTTTCTGGGAGGTTCTTCAAGCACTCCATCTCAGCTTCAACTGTACCTTGTTCCTGGTTTAATTAAGAAACCAAAAGATTCCAGGGTGATCTTTTACAATGATTACCAGCTAGCTTTTATATCACTCGTCAACTGTGTTTTGGGTCCTTTGAATGCCATTCAGGTAATTGTCATGCACAGTCCAGACCTCCAGTGAAAAGAGCAGAAGAACTCTCATCTCTCTTGTATTTAAAAATCGCAAACGACCACATGCATAGATCTCTTCAAACCACTTCACCAGCTCTACTGTGTTAGGTGGGAAAAAATTTTTAATTTATAAAATTTACGCTGTAATCTCTGTGCTTGGTAGAAATATGGTGATACTGCCGCTAACGTATCCTTTGTTTAAGACAATCTCATATCTCCAGTTGATTAGACCCAATTGTTTATCTTATAAGGATGCATCTAGCTTTATCTCTTGGCGTTCTCCCATATTGCGTGTTGACAATGATGCTTTTGGCTATTGAATTTGTTCCTTGAGAAACGGCCCACATTTTGCAATATTTAAATGTAGATCTTTTGTGTTTAACAAACTCTTGATCTCCAGTCGCTTGGGCCAAATTGTTTACCTTATAGAGCTAGCATTGTCTCTTGGACATTCCACCTTGTTACATGTGTGGGGATAATGCCATGGCATTTGTTTTTTTGATGGTTGTCTGTAGGAGAGCTACGTAGTAACCCATATTCTGTGATATTATGATTTCCATCTTTGTCAACTCTTTTGGCCTTTTTAAAGACAGCCTTATAGTTTGTCTCATGCCCTGTTGGACTATTATCCATGCCGGCCTTTTGTCCTATACCCGTTCTATTGATACTCTAAATTTTAGATTTAAACAGGATTTCTAAACATAAAATTACATTAGTCGAGATTACAATAATACTAACTACTAACTACCAACACTCCTTTTTTAAAGGAGATTCCATTATCGGACACCGGTATCTATAATCATAACAGGATTAATTTACGGCTCCATCCAAATTGAAAAAAGTCAGAATATAGAGCTCTAAGACATGCTACATGCCTATTTATAAAAACAATATTTTATTTCTCAGATCATATTTCAACTTGTATATTCACGAGATAAAGATCTCAACCGTGTGCCAGATTCCATAACAAAGAATTCAACAAGTGATACAATATACTTTCAAAACTTTAACAAGGTCTTAAAATTAAGATCTTAAAAATAAATCTTTTTTCTGAAAGTGGCTAATTTTAGTTTTTGAAGTTGAGTTAATAAATACTTTAACATGAAACAGAAAAATCTTCATTTAAATGCGCAAGGAACATCCATCCCAGAATATTCTGAATGCTATTTACAAAATAGCAAATTAAAGACTTATCACAGAAAGTATGATTGATAAACCAATGACATGATAACTTCAACCATTCTAAATATAAACGCATAAACATCATAGAATTATCTTATTATAATATCAAACCCCTTGACATATTAAATGCTAAAATAAAGTTCTAGTTATCTAGAGCTGGCTTCTCGTTTATCCTTTAATCTTCTGTAAAGTTGCAAGCCTGTCTGGAACGATTCTTTGTTGATTCCTTGAGGGACAAGCTGACAGGCAACCCCTGTAGGAAATAGGGACACAGGCATAATGATTTGGCCAGGGAACATTTTATACAATTTTAATTTTCAATATATACAGCAACTTTAAGAAAAACATTGTTATTGCATTATTTATATTATTATAACAGATGTATTATCTTACTAATTAACAATGTTATCAATAAATCCTTAATTATTACTATTGGCTTGTACATATATTTTTGTTTGCCTTACCTAATGATGAAACATCAGCTATATTTCTATGTTCATCATCAAAGAATAGCATTTCTTCATAAGCAATACCACTCATCACGTGTAGTCTAGAGAGAAATAATTTTCTTAACTATTGTTAGTTCAACTCTAAACCACCTTTAAATCTTAAGACCTATAATGGTCAAGGAACTTTAAGTACTGGGGTGGCCAGATTAACTTATCCAATAATAATAAAAATCACACAATCAAATGGGATGCAAGTACTATAAAAAAAACATCTGGAAACTAAACATAACATCCCTACAAACATTTTATTTTAAAACCTTTATTCCAGTTATTGTTCGAGTGAATTTTTTTAACTAAGAAGATGTTATTGGAAATAATTGTTTAAAAAAATAATCTGAAAGTAAGACTTACTTTTTAAAATGTGTTATCTTGCTCCCTGGATAGATTTGCCTGTAATCAAAATACTGGTCCCATTTAAAGAGACGAGTGAGATCTGAAGCTTCAGTTACAGCACAGGTACTGATGGTAAAGACAAGAATTCAACATAACCTAAAGCACAGTTCATGTAAACCTACATTAGAGTTCTTGGTCGTATAAATAAAAGTATGTAAAATAAAATTCCTAAATGAACTCAAATCTTATAGCCCTAATCGTAAGCAGAGATTGCAATTAGAAATTTCAAACAGTATACATGGGACGGCGTGGCCTAGCGGTGGAGCACTGGACTGCTAACCTGATAGTTTTGAGTTAGAATCCAGTTTCAAGTTAGTGGAACGTCCACTCAACTCTAATGGGTACCTAACGTAAGTTAGGGAAAGTAAAGGCGGCTGGGCATAGTGCTGACCACATTATCCCTTTATATGCCGAGGTCAAGAAACATGAACTCCACTTCATCGTCCCAATGGATCGTTAGGTCTCAAGAGGAATCTTTACTTTTTTTTTTACATATACATATTTAAAAATATATCTATCTATTTATATGTATTTATATCAATTTTAGGCCCTGTGGCTACAGCTGGGTCAACATAGCCCTTAATCTGCCACTAGGCTTGTTACAAGAAAACAATCAGATTTACCGTGAAGCTATTGCAAGTTTAACTCCTGAGTTATGCAGCGAGTTAAGAATCTCTGGGACATCCTTGTAGTACTTCACATGATGGTTGTGAGAGTCATAGACTTTACCATCACTGGAAATATAGTTTGATAAGAGAACACACCTCAGATAAGCCAGCTAAACTGAAATTTTTAAAACTCTAAACTTTACATTTGTAAAATAACTTTAATGTGGTACCATTTTAAATATTAAAGTAAAAATACTTCTTCTTTAATTCTTTCATAGTTACATAAAATGTTCATATCAACATTTTACATTTATTAGTTTAGATTAACATGGTTGGGTTCTTTAAAATTTTGGAAAATAATTGATTTAGAATTGCTTTTAGTAGTTATAGACTAAATACTTTTATATAGCTAGATTTTGTCAGCTTACTGGATTATTAGATTACCAAATTTTTTTTCTCAGAATTACAAGTGTAATATTTTGTGTATAATTTTGAATGGATTAAAACTGAGAAAAAAAACAACTTACGATGTCATGTGGAAAGGTGGATCAACATGTGTGTCCACCCAAAAAGGCCACAGCGTATAATCTGTAAAAATACATTACTGAAATTACATATGATAGTATCTAAATACTGATGCAAAAATATCTAAAGTTATAAAAAAGCATGAGATAAGGTGCATTTGTAAGTTTATATAAATATTAACAACATTTTGATAAAATGGTAACTATGTGCCATTGTTCATTTTTGCTTTTAATACCTTTTCACAATTAAGGCAACATTGTAATGCAGTAAAAGGTACATTATTTAGGTTGTCACAAGTCAATATATTATAAAAATAAAAGATTTTCGATTTACAAAGAAAAACTGAATAGTGTTAAATAAAAACAAACAGTTGACCTACCTAAATCAAAAACAATAAGCTTTGGCTCTGCCATATTATTTACTTGACAACTAAGCCCTGCTCTACTGTAGAGGAGCACACGAGTAAACAACTCAAAAGCGGTTCTTAAATTTATGGCTTTAAAATATATCTGGAAAAAAAAAAGTCATGTTGATGTTTTTAATACTCAATGGTAGTAGAAAAGATAAAAAAACCGCCGTTCGGTTTTGCCACAATTTTAAAAATCGCCTTAGCACTGAAACGCGACTAATACTTAAATTTGGTACACGGGCACCCGATGGCTTGAATGAACAGATATCTTTCACCTAACAACCCCCCCCCCCCTCCCGCATACACCACGCCCCCAACCCCACCCCTATACGGTGTCCAAGCGTCCTTCTCACGCGTCTTTTCTTTTGGATATCGTGGCTAGCAGACAAGACGTGTTTTCACTGTCGAGCTAAGTCAAAAAATGTGTTACTGTTTGTCTTTATTTGTCTAATTTGTAATCACACTGTTGTGTGCTGACGAAGACCTTGGGTCGAAACGTCCATAGTACTTGTAACTGTCTTTAACTTGTGAGGTAACTAATACTATCTGTTTTATTACTAATGGTAGTAGAATAGAATTTATAAGTAATTTGTAATATATGTGACTAGAGTGAATAGACTAATTAGTAATGCTGTTTGGTCTGATAAGCTATTGATTTTAATTTAAATAATGTGCAAATGAGCTGCTGTCTTAACAAGTAATTTAAACAAGCCGAGCATGAAGAAGGACATACTTGGAACATGAGTAGGAACTGTCACAAAATGGCTTTAATAAATGAATTCATTAGGCGTAAGTTCTCAAACTCAGAGCAAACTAATATAAAAGTGCCATTTTGTAGGCCTATTGATAGTACCAACACTATTTTATTTGACCGTCTTTATAGTTTTTAACTTATTTCCAGGATAACCATAGACAACAAGGCACAAGGTCAACATCAACACCCTATCAAAATGCACACTAAACAATGACATCAACTAGAGATTTTTAAAAACATAATAATAAAGCCAGTAAAAGGGCTTTTCAACATGTATGTAACATTTCTTGCCATGTGTGTAAATGAGACCTGGTGGATGACCAAGATCACTAATAATACTATTTTATATGAAAAGCCCTGACCTTCATGAATAGCTAGCTGACAAGTACCTCTTGAAATACACTAGCATGTCATCAGTAGGTGTGAAGCAGCCTTTGTCGCCTCCTGTTAAAAAAGGAAGATATGGGCTGAGTGTTGCTTAAACTCACTACCAACCAGCAAGTTTTATTAGTTATTAGATTTAGATAGGCCCTATCCCATAGTGAATTAGTTAAGTAGAACTTAACAGTTAAGTGTTCTCTTAAGTAATTTAGTAGTGATTAAGTAATTTAATAATTTAGTTTTTGTTAGGTAGTAATTTAGATTAGTTTATTAGTAGAGTAGTAGTCTATCTTGTTTAATAATTTTTTTTATTTAAGCCTAGTTATTCTAGAAGTAACAGGCCATAACTAGTAGCTAGTAGGCAGAGGTGTCGTGAGGCGGGGGCGGTGGGTGCGGACCGCACCAGGTGACACCATTTAGGGGGGTGGCACTAAGACAAAAAAAGGCAAGATATATAGAATACATGTTTTTCTCCAGTTCAATGATTCCCAATGATTAATTAGAGTTAAAAAGTATTTTAAGTACAAATTTATGCAAACTATAAAGAAAACAATGTTACACCCAGCTGTATTAACAACCGGCTAAAGATAAACATCATTAGTATTAAATATGAACTTCTTCTTCTTCTTCGTTCTTAATTATTAGTGTTGAAGGGCATCGAGATTTATCTGCCAGTGGGTTTGAACTCGTGACTTTGTTCGAATTTATCAACCATGAGCTTTTTGCCGACTCGACCACGCCTCCAACACAATTAAGCTTTACGTGTCAACTGGTTATGCGCCATTGAGGCCATTGACTCCGATTTTAGCCTGCTTTTCTTTTTGGATTTGCTTCCATAGCCTTTGTCCAACCAAGAACAAACTACAAGGCAGCAGTTGTTTTAATTTTGGAGTTGTCTCTCCTAGAAGAGTGGCTGTCCCCAGCTAACGAGCCTCATCTGCCCGAGGGTTCGAACTCGAGACATTTCGGTTTAGCAACCATGAGCCTTACCGACTCGACCACGCCGACCCCTAAATATGAACAATTTAAAGCTTTTACCTTGGGGGGTGGGGGTGGGGGGTGAAAACAACTGCAAAATTTACAGTGAACAAAAAGGGGGTGACACAGTGAGGCACCGCACAGAGTGACACCCAACCAAGCAATGCCACTGCTAGTAGTAGGTAACACTCTGACACGAATTAACACGTTAGTAACAGTCACTCAAGTCTCAAACTGAAAGAGCATATTTAAGTACAGTCAAACTCAGTGGTAAAAGACTAAAAGATTAGAGTTTAGACTAGTTTAGAGTACTTTAGAGCCAAAAGTTTAAAATGATGACAGAGATACTCAGATCATCCAGTCCATCAATCTGAGATCTAGTCTAGAGTTCTTCCAGGCATCTCTTCGGGGCTGCTCCCCCCCCCCCCCCCCCCGAACAAAATGGAATTTAGTTTAGAAAATATAGAAAACATACTTTTACCAGTGTAGGCCTACACCCCCATCCCCTCCCCACCCGGAGATAAAAGTCTGGAAGAAACACTTGACTCTAATGGACACGAGCGAGAAAACTCTCAAAGGTATTTGAGAGGTGTATAAATTAGTTTAAAAATCAGGCACGGCGTAGTTACAATTAATATGGTTATAAAATCCTGTCTGTCTGGTTTATTTCGGACTTTACTAAAGATTGAGTCTATTTGATGTTTTAAAAATTTTCGGTAACTAATTGAAAATTTAAAAACAAGCCAAAACAATTTGGTTTTCACGTGTAATGGCGACATAAACAATGGCATCCTGCTATTGGATAGGCCGACATTGATTTTATTGTACACATTGTAAGCTAAAAATAGAAAACTAGGTCATGGGGTTTTTAATTTGCATTGTTATTTAAAAACTTGATCTGCAAAGTTTTGTAAACAAATAGTTATCGATCACTAAGTTACTGTACAGCCAATCAATATTTGTCTTACGAAAGTGAAACATCCGGTTTTAACTTAGGCTTGATGAAAATAAATAGAAATGTAGCCTTAAGCCTTAAACTCAACAAATTATTTTCAAGTTCTCTGGATTTGCAACTTTTATAGCATTTATTCTAAAAATATAAAATTTCTAAATTAATTTTAGGCTTAAGTTTTTATTTTTTATTTTTTTTTACGGTCTAAATCTAAAAAGCACGTTTTTATTCCATGTCAACAATATTATGGAAGGAATCTCGTCAACTCGCTCGCCTCCATTATCTAATAACTAATAAATGACTAGATCTATAGGCCCTACTAACTAAACTACCAACACATCAATTATCGGAATAGTCTACAGTCGGATATGGTTAATCATAAATAAGACTGCATAGGACTTATTATTTTAAAATTATTATAAATTAATGATTTCATACTTCAACTTCGTAAGCAGATGATGAGATGCAGTGTCTGATTCTAGAGAAGTGAAGAAGTCTAGCCAAGTAAAAACCTGCGTCCGAAGTTTAATTTAGTAAGCGGTGGATTTTCAATCTCGAATTTTGAAGTTTATATTAGGCCAATAATGCAAAGTAGTCTACTAGTTCTAGATTCTAGGCCTAATCCTAAGTCACTAAGTCTAAGTGAAATCCATCTAGATCTAGATCTATCAAATATCTGATTAACGTGAAATAATTACATTATGCATTAGGCAATATAGATTTCTAGCTTATGCTGTTTAATCTCTAAAGTTTTGTCACATAAATCTATATAATCAGAGCCGGCGTTAGGGGGTGGCAAACGGGGCGGTCGCCCTAGGCCCCGCACTTGAAGGGGCCCCGCGCTTCAGCACTGTCATTGTTATCTGAATTAGTTTGTAAACTTAAAAAAATGTTGCTGAATTCAATTGGGAAAAACTAAATGATCGAATGCCGACGTTGTTGATTGTTATAACTGAGGCCACGGTTGATGTTAGTAAGTGTGCACGCATATTACATAGGCATATATATATATTTTTTTGACGTATCACCGCTTAATACACGTATTGTAGCAACTTCTCTGTGTTACCCGGTTCCCAGAAAGAACCGCAACGCTTTTTTCTGTGTGCGTTTTTTCTGTTTGCGCTTTTTTCTGTGTGCGCTTTTTTCTGTTAGCGCTTTTTTTCCGTTTGCGCTTTTTTATGTGTGCGCTTTTTTCTGTTTGCGCTTTTTTTCTCTTTGCGCTTTTTTTCTCTTTGCGCTTTTTTCTGTGTGCGCTTTTTTCTCTTTGCGCTTTTTCCGTGTGCGCTTTTTTCTCTTTGCGCTTTTTTCTGTTTGCACTTTTTTCTTTTTGCGCTTTTTTCTTTTGGCGCTTTTTTCTGTTTGCGCTTTTTTCTGTGTGCGTTTTTTTCCGTTGCGCTTTTTGTTTTGCGCTTTTTTCCGTTGCGCTTTTTTCCTTTGCGGTTCTTTCCGGCCACCGTCATGCCGACCCCCCCCCCCCCCCTCCCCTCTCCCCGCAGACAATCTGGAACGTAATATTAAAATCAAATATTAAATTTATAATTCAACCATTGTCCACCCACACTATGGTAAACTGATGGGGCGAGTAGTTTGGGTGTGGGTGTGGAAAGGGGGGGGGGGGGAGAGCTTACAAAATAAGTAAAATAAGGCTCCTCGTTAGAGGCATCTTATTTATCTAATAAAATACATCAAGTTTCAAAGACTAGTTCTCTCTTTCTTCGTGAGCTGTTTAAGTGTTTAAGAAGCATTCTTAAATTTAAAGTATGGGGGAAAATCCACCTTCGGTTTAAAACAATTCAAAGAAAATAATGCAAATTGAAACGTGTTGAATTTGTGTGATGTAGTATTACATTTTTAAAACAAGTTACGAGAAAGAATTCCGAATTATACCCTTAGTACTTCACAATGTTGATAGATCTAGATACTTTAGTTATACAAAACAGTTTTAAAAAGATCTAAGCTAGGTTAACAAATATATAGATACTGATATATGTATATGTTGTATGGTGACTACAGTTGGGTAGGTTGTGTGATGACGGAGTTTTGTGTGTACGTGATAGTTCTACGTGTAAACAATGTGTAGTGAGATGGTGTAAAATTCGTGTATGTTCGATGGGTGTAGGACAGTGTCTAGTGCAAGGTTAACTAGTGCTGGTGTGTTTTGACGTGTGGGTAGCTGAGCTCGTGTTCACGCGACGACCAATGGGAGATGGTCAAAGGGAAACTACTGGTGGCACAGGACAACCGAGAGGGGAGGGGAGATAATGAAACAACACGCATGTCAAAACTCATGGCATGGTGTGTTCAACAACTATTTCCCTTTCTTGTGAAAACAGGCCGGTTGTGTTAATTATTGATGTAGGAATTTTCTTGCAGTGTGTTGGCTATTGTAAAGACCTCACAAGATAAACTAGCTCAACTGTATAACGTAACTATCTTTGGTACACACATTTAAATGGGCAAAGTTGTCTGGATTCTGTGTGTGGATAATGATTTGTTCGTGGAATAAGCAAGGACTGTTTATTTTTGAACATCGTCACTACGTAGTCAATAGAACCCATCAACAAGAAAATCAAACATGAGGAAACATCAACAAGAGGCTTCATCAACGAATGGACCGTTTTAACTTGAGAACCCATTAAATACTGGACCCATCAGCTAGAGGACCCACCAACTATAGGACCCATCAGCTAGAGGACCCACCAACTATAGGACCCTTCAGCTAGAGTACCCATCAGCTAGAGGACCCATCAGCTAGAGGACCCATCAGCTAGAGGACCCATCAGCTAGAGGACCCATCAGCTAGAGGACCCATCAGCTAGAGGACCCATCAGCTAGAGGACCCATCAGCTAGAGGACCCATCAGCTAGAGGACCCATCAGCTAGAGGACCCATCAGCTAGAGGACCCATCAAATAGAGGACATCGGTTAGAGGACCCATCAGCTAGATGACCAGAAATGGTGAAAATCAGATAAGTGTGTAGCATAAGTGTATATGTACACAGTAAACAAAAACATATCACAAACAAAATAACACAAACCAACGAACATAAGCTACCACCATTAACCGACAACAGACCACGATAGACCACAAAACTACGAACCACAACTAACACCACTAACCGACAACCGACCAACCAACGACAACTAATCCACTAATCGACGACCAACCAACCAACGACCACAAAACTACGAACCACAACTAACACCACTAACCGACAACCGACCAACCAACGACAACTAATCCACTAATCGACGACCAACCAACCAACGACCACAAAACTACGAACCACAACTAACACCACTAACCGACAACCGACCAACCAACGACAACTAATCCACTAATCGACGACCAACCAACCAACCAACCAACGACCACAAAACTACGAACCACAACTAACACCACTAACCGACAATCGACCAACTAACGACAACTAATCCACTAATCGACGACCAACCAACCAACGACCACAAAACTACGAACCACAACTAACACCACTAACCGACAACCGACCAACCAACGACAACTAATCCACTAATCGACGACCAACCAACCAACCAACCAACGATCACAAAACTACGAACCACAACTAACACCACTAACCGACAGCCGACCAGCCAACGACAACTAATCCACTAATCGACGACCAACCAACCAACGACCACAAAAATACGAACCACAACTAACACCACTAACCGACAACCGACCAACCAAACACAACTAATCCACTAATCGACGACCAACCAACCAACCAACCAACCAACGACCACAAAACTACGAACCACAACTAACACCACTAACCGACAACCGACCAACCAACGACAACTAATCCACTAATCGACGACCAACCAACCAACCAACCAACCAACCAACGACCACAAAACTACGAACCACAACTAACACCACTAACCGACAACCGACCAACCAACGACAACTAATCCACTAATCGACGACCAACCAACCAACCAACCAACCAACCAACCAACCAACCAACCAACCAACCAACTACCACAAAACTACGAACCACAACTAACACCACTAACCGACAATCGACCAACTAACGACAACTAATCCACTAATCGACGACCAACCAACCAACGACCACAAAACTACGAACCACAACTAACACCACTAACCGACAACCGACCAACCAACGACAACTAATCCACTAATCGACGACCAACCAACCAACCAACCAACGATCACAAAACTACGAACCACAACTAACACCACTAACCGACAGCCGACCAGCCAACGACAACTAATCCACTAATCGACGACCAACCAACCAACGACCACAAAAATACGAACCACAACTAACACCACTAACCGACAACCGACCAACCAAACACAACTAATCCACTAATCGACGACCAACCAACCAACCAACCAACCAACGACCACAAAACTACGAACCACAACTAACACCACTAACCGACAACCGACCAACCAACGACAACTAATCCACTAATCGACGACCAACCAACCAACCAACCAACCAACCAACGACCACAAAACTACGAACCACAACTAACACCACTAACCGACAACCGACCAACCAACGACAACTAATCCACTAATCGACGACCAACCAACCAACCAACCAACCAACCAACCAACCAACCAACTACCACAAAACTACGAACCACAACTAATACCACTAACCGACAACTGACCAACCAACGACAACTAATCCACTAATCGACGACCAACCAACCAACCAACCAACGACCACAAAACTACGAACCACAACTAACACCACTAACCGACAACCGACCAACCAACGACAACTAATCCACTAATCGACGACCAGCCAACCAACGACCACAAAACTACGAACCACAACTAACACCACTAACCGACAACCGACCAACCAACGACAACTAATCCACTAATCGACGACCAACCAACCAACCAACCAACCAACCAACCAACCAACCAACCAACGACCACAAAACTACGAACCACAACTAACACCACTAACCGACAACCGACCAACCAACGACAACTAATCCACTAATCGACGACCAACCAACCAACGACCACAAAACTACGAACCACAACTAACACCACTAACCGACAACCGACCAACCAACGACAACTAATCCACTAATCGACGACCAACCAACCAACCAACCAACGATCACAAAACTACGAACCACAACTAACACCACTAACCGACAGCCGACCAGCCAACGACAACTAATCCACTAATCGACGACCAACCAACCAACGACCACAAAAATACGAACCACAACTAACACCACTAACCGACAACCGACCAACCAACGACAACTAATCCACTAATCGACGACCAACCAACCAACCAACCAACCAACGACCACAAAACTACGAACCACAACTAACACCACTAACCGACAACCGACCAACCAACGACAACTAATCCACTAATCGACGACCAACCAACCAACCAACCAACCAACCAACGACCACAAAACTACGAACCACAACTAACACCACTAACCGACAACCGACCAACCAACGACAACTAATCCACTAATCGACGACCAACCAACCAACCAACCAACCAACCAACCAACTACCA